TTTAGTATCATAAGCATAGTTGAGGCATATCTCTCCATGTCATGTTCAACGTTTGTATGGAGCAATGGTTTTGTCCTTAATCAATATAAAAAGGTTCTTAAAAACACTTGAAAATGAGAAGATTGGAGATTATACTATGCTAATGTGGTGAAAGTAAACTTTTATTTCAATGTAGAAAAATGCCAAAAAGAAGATGAACTCGAGCACTTGTTGAAATTGCATTGCCTTTTATAGCTCTATTATAAATTGCACTCTAGTCTTAGGTTTGAAAATTGGATAAATAGAAAACTTCCTTTAAAATTTCTCTCTTGAAACATTAAAACACAAATATGGGTGCTTGGGCACCATTTGGTCACTTTGGTGGAAAAACAGGAATATGATCTACTTTTTGAGTGCCCAGAGCGATGCATTCGGCAGCCTTGCACCTTGAACTTAGGCAGGCAACGAGAGTGCAATTTAGAATAGTGGCAAAAAAGGGCAATGCAATAGCAGCAAGTGTTTATCTTCTGTTTGGCATTCCTACAAATCATATTGTCTAAAACCAAAGATTCGCTAATTGCTTAAAATCATATTGTCTTTCATACCGTGTTAATGAAGAACTTGTCATGAGAAGTTTTGTCATCCCAGGGTAGTATCAAGACTCGTACCCCTTCCTGCGACTTGTACTTAAGCAATTCACCAAGATTCAAATCCCCGCCTCGCGGCAGTGGCCTAGTAGGCTCTCTTACCAGTTTAATCTTGTGAAAAACAGACCAGCCAACAATGTATATCAAGTGATGAGCCTCTGAAATCGCATAGCATATATCTTCCCAGCAAGTGCCCTGCTGATACATTTTGCCCCCGTCCAATTCAATGGGCGGGAATTTTACATCATGGCTAACATGGGCGTCTTGGTACAGCTTAACTAAAGACCCTTTTCGCAGTGGGAAATATGTGCGCCTCACTCCCAAATGCTGAGGGTCGCCCGCAATGCCATGCTTATTATACAAGGGATTGGTTTCAAAGGGGGTGAACTTCATTTCAATTCGGAGAGCCGAATCCTGCTTAGGGGGCTTCCCCGAGGGCCCAATTATAGGAAACCAACCGGAGATGAGTTCCCCCGAGGCAATCCTCTGTGCAGGAATTTTCACTTTGCCCATAATCTGAGCTCCGAAGACATCAGCATCCTTAACCCTGAACTCCAAATTGACCAGAGGATGAGCCATGGGGATGTGAAATTCCTCATTCCAAACGGGATTCTGAGAGTTGGGTATGACCCGAGTCCGAGCAAGTGCAGTCTGGGGAGCGGACACGGTGACGTAAGGGTCGCTCGTAATGATTCCCCGGCGATAGGGTTTCATTTCCTGGTTCTCTCCGGCGCTCTCCCCCTCGAAGTCATCCGTCGTCCTGCAGGCATCGCAAGCAAAGCAGCGGCGGAGGCGCTCTGTAGCCAGGTCCATGTTGGGCAGTTTTCGAGCCTCGATGACGCGCAGCTCCAAATCTCCATGTAAATAAATGGTCTCATCCCCAAATTTCGCCGACATTCTTCTCCTCCCTCCCTCCTGTGTTTTCGAGAATGGGCAGCCTTCAAAGCTTAGCCCAACGCAGCACAAATTGTGCTGATTGCAACATAGATTCACAGTACTATATATATATATATATATGATATATCACATCAAAAAGAAGGAAAAAGTTTTGTCTTTTACTTGCAAAGGCTAAAAATGAGCTGGAATTTGGCGAAGAAATTGAGGAAATGTTGATGGGGCACGAGGAAGACAGGTATTGGGTGCAAAAAACACATGGGGTGGAATGGTGGCCTGGTGGGGACGTGGGGATAGAGTGGTAGTTGCTAAACTTGCTAGTGTGTAAAAGGGGAGATTCGCGCTTAGGGGTGTTCATTCGGTAAAACCGTACCGAACCGAACCGAAATTTCGGTAATATTATATTCGTACCGAATATCGAACCGTATTAAATTGGTTCGGTACGGTTAATACCGAAATTATTTTGGTTTGGTATTCGGTAATACCGAAAAAACCAAAAATTTCATTTTTTTCATTTATACTTCACTTTGTACCACAAGCTATCTCATTCAACATTTAAGGAAATTAGAAATACTTTATATTTTTTAGCTATAGTTAGGCCCCGTTCCGTTCAACTTATTTTTTCTTATTTTTTCTTATTCTTATTAAAATCAGATCAGATCAGACCAGATCAGATCAGATCAGATCGAATCAGATCAGATCAGATCGAATCAGATCAGATCAGATCAGATCAGATCGAATCAGATCAGATCAGATCAGATCAGATCGAATCAGATCAGATCAGATCGAATCAGATCAGATCAGATCAAATCAGACCCAATCAGATCAGATCAGATCAGATCAGATCAGATCAGGACTTATTAAAATCAGATCCCATCAAGAATTATTATTATTATTATTATTATTATTATTATTATTATTTTGATTATTATTATTATTGTTGTTGTTGTTGTTGTTGTTCTTACAAATGAAAAAGAATAAACTTTAGAAATAGGTTAAATAGAAAATTGAGAAAGTAATCCTTAATTATTAGACGTCAGAAAAATTAGTTTTAAAATACATTAAAAATGTCAATCTAATTCTACTTTTAAAATATATTTTTATTGATACTTGTAATTTGAGTTTCTAAAGTTTTGATCTTTTATAAAGATGAGATATTTTAATAAAAATACTATCTCTTCTATATATTGATTATCTAAATTTAATTACTTTTTAATGTATATCTAAATTAAATATTTATTCTAATGTATATATGAAGTAATTATTAAAATATTAAATTAATATTCTAATATAAAAAAATAATCATAAAATAAAATATATTATTACATTATAATATGAATGATTATTCTAATATATGAATTAACGATTTTTATTTCATTAAAAAATAATTATTAAATAAAAAATATTGATTATATTATAATATGAATTATCATTACAATTTTCAAATGTTATTATAAAGTCAAATCAAATTATTAATTTGAAATTTTAAATTAAATCATAATTAATCAGATCAGATCAGATCAGATCTAATCAGATCAGATCAGATCAGATCCAATCAGATCAGATTAGATCCAATCAGATCAGATCCAATCAGATCAGATCAGATCAGATCCAATCAGATCAGATCAGATCCAATCAGATCAGATCAGACCAGATCAGATCAGATCAGATCAGAACTTATTAAAATCAGATCAGATCAGACCAGATCAGATCAGATCAGATCAGAACTTATTAAAATCAGATCAGATCAGAAAAAATAAGTTGAACGGAACGGAGCCTTAGTCATAAATTACTTAGTTTTTCATATTATTAAAAGATTATCGAAGCACATGATTTTGATTTTATAAAAAAACCGAAATATAAAAAAAGAAATAAAAAAATGTTTAAAAGATCTTACCTTTAGCCATCGATAATTTATTGCCTACGAAGTGAGGTCAATGTATTGATCATTTAGAATAAATGAAACAAAAAATTGAAGAAGAAAGAAACAAATAGTAAGCATGAGAAAATTTATTTAGATATGAAGTATTTTTTTAAAAATTGAAATTGTGAATAAAAGGAAAAATAAAATAAAGTAGACCACTATATGAGTTGCTAGGACTCAAGATTAGAATTCAAACTTCAAAATATTTAAAATAATAAAATGAAATAATAATTTGGTATTCGGTAAAAACCGAATTACCGAATTATTGGGCAAACCGAACCGAAAATCGAATTTTAGCAAAAAGAAAAACCGAATACCGAACCAAATTATTCGGTTTGGTTTCGGTACGTACCGAATTTTTCGGTTTCGGGACGGTTCGGTCAGTTTACCGAATTGTGCACACCCCAATCGGGCTAACATGCGCTGGATGTCCTCACAAAGAAAGAAACTGCAAACTACCACTTAACTTTGTTGGGTGGGATTGGGTCGAATGGTTTCCAAGTTTCTTAGCCCCTATTCCTTGCAGCCCATAATTTCCAAGAAAGCAAATCCAAAAGTAACTTTCTGTTAGATAATCTTTTTTCATTGCAAAAATTCAGAAAAAGACTCCTAAGAATACGACTTTTGATGAAAATACTCTCAAAATTGATAATTAATCTTTTTTATCCCAATTATTTTATACTACCTTCGTCTCAGGGTATTTGTCCACTTTCATTTTTACACACCTTCCAATACATTTCTTTAATCCATTTTATCTTATAATTTGTATATTAAAAAATTATAGAAATTATATATTAATAATCTATATGTTAAGACAAATCAAACAAGATCACACATGACTATATTTAGGCGTACACATTGAGAGAATTTGATGAGTCAAAGTGCTTAGATGAACTGTTCCAAAAACAAAACTGGACGAATACTCCGGGACGGAGGGAGTATTTTTTCGTCGTCACTCTCACTTGTCAGGTCAGCTCCTACATGGAAAAAAAATTGATTTATATTTTGAGTACTCTTTTTTATCTAAGAGTTATTAAAATGGGAGTTCTAGGTCTTATAATTACTTTAAGAAAAACTTAATTTTATTAAATGGTATATGTAATTACACCACTTACATCATTTTCATATAGGGAAAAGGATCAAACTAGGAGAAAAAACATATATCTTATTCCTAGGGTAAGAATTTAAATTTAAACTCCCCATAAATAGAAGTAATTGACTTAACTAATCTCATCTTCTATCTTACACTCTTTCTTCTTGTCAATATCTCTCCTCGATCACATGCACAAAGCCCTACTTCATAGCCCCATCATTTTTTCTCTTTCTTTTTTTCCCCTATTTTCTATTTCAATCTCTGCTCTTTTTATATCGTTAATCTATGCCACTTCTTTCCTTTTTTCTAATCTTTTTATCTCCATTTAGTTTTTGAATGAATGTATATGAAATATCTTCATCTTAATTGAAAAACTATATTTTTTTAAAAATTTATGATAATTGTTTATTTTTAAAAAGAAAAAGATTCCCGAAATGCTACTCAATAATTATGTATTTTCCCAAATTAATCTATAAAATTTACTAGTTACTGAGATGGTACTCGTTAATTGAGAATAATTCACGCGTTAGTCCCTCGACTAACATTCATTAAAACGAAGATAAACCCTATAGGTATTTACCAAAATGGTAATTTGTAACAGAGTGTTTTCTCAAATTGGTCCACTTTCGAAATAAAAATACATTAAATATGGGAAAATATTTGAGAATTTATAGAATGATTATATGAAAATTAAAAATTTAAATTTATTTTTATAAATTTGAAAGTAAATGTTTTTTATTATTTAATAAATGTTTTCTCAGTTCAGTCCCTCTATTTAATAAATTTCTCAGTTCAGGGACTGAACTAAGAATTATTCCATGGATGGTCCCTCGATTAACGACCGTTTAAAGAACATAAAACTATATACTAATTTCCCAAATAAAATGGTTCGCTGAACTGTCGTGGTCGTGAATCAAGGGACTGAACTAAGAAATTTGAATCGAGGTACCATCAATTAATGGTTGTTTAAACGGTCGTTATTTTGAAAAATTCCAAATTCAAAATTTTCGAATCATCCCCCTTGCAATTTTCGAATCATCCCCCTTCGTAGTCAACATCAATTCAAATTTCAAAATTCAAATTTTTGGATTCAAATTTGAAATTTTCCTTCCTGACACATTTTGCACGAAGAAAGTAATGCATTGGACCACACTTGGAGTGTTGTGTACAAAAACGTTATCCAGAATTTGTAACTTATCTCCTTTTTTTTGTGTTCGATATGTAAATTATGTAAGATAATTTTAGTATCTGCATCAATATTATTTCTGCATGATGTAAACAAGATGTATCAATATTCAATTTCATATTATGTAATTGCATGTTATTTATATATTACATTGATTATTATTACTCTGTATATTATTCTTACCGTGCCGTGCACAAGTAGAATCTAGTAAAGTCAATCCCTTCCCCACATAAAGGGAGGGTTTTTTCTTGATCTTTCATGTCTTCTTCCTTCGCCCGGACACGCCGCCCCTATTTGTTACTACCATGAGGGGTGGATTGGGAGTGCAACTCAAAAATACTTAAGGTAGTGTTTGGATAGGGGAATTCATTTCAATTCTTGAATTTCAATTCCATAATTTGAAATTCTATAAGGCCCCGTTTGGTATACGGAATTCAAACTGTGGAATTGAAATTGAGGGCTTGAATTCTAATTCTCGTGTTTGGTAGCACAAAAATTAATTGGTTTTAGAATTGGTAATGCAAAAAATGAATTGGAATTGATGAATTTAATTCTATGGAATTGAATCCCATGGAATTTTTATTTCAATTCAATTCCAATTTCATCAATTCCGTGTACCAAACGGACCCTAATTCAAATTCCATTTTGGTGTTTGGCAAACACAAGAAATTCAAAAATCATAATTTCAAATCCAAATGCTGTTTGGGAAATTCATAATTTCAATTCTAGAATTCAAATTCTGATGTTGTTTGGCAAGTACTAGAATTTCATTTCAAATAATTAATGAACAAAATATTTAAACATAATCTAAAATAACATAATGACCAATTGTTTCATAAACAAAATACATACTAATGTATGACAATTAGAAAAAGTAT